GCAGACTGGGCGAGCTTTGGAAACCCTTCTCCAAGCGACTGGTGCTCGCTGGTATCCGAATTTCGCAAGGCGACTCATCCGTCATTGCCAAGACACCGTCTGACATGCACGACGCAATTCTTGCGTACTGGGGCACGATATTCGCAGACAAGCCAGTAAACACTACCAACATGAATATCTACCTGGACTCCGTCTTTCCTCAGCGCGACCTTGTTGCGCTGGAGCCCCCCAACGCTGAAGAGCTTCAAGAAGCAGCAAAACGAGCGCATGACTCTGCCGCAGGCCCAGATGGCCTTCCCTACAAAGCATGTATCTCCACCCCCAACAGCTTCGAGATCCTGGAAGAGATCGTGGCTAACATCTCGGCCAACAACATCATCCCGCACGGTTGGAACCACGCTCTACTAGCCATGCTACCAAAAGGTGATGCGCCTGCTGGGCATGCTGAATGCTATCGGTCGCCAGACCAACTCCGCCCTCTCGCGATGAAGAACACCGACGTAAAGATTGCCGCTTCCGCCATGGACCGCAAGTTACATCCGATTGTCAAGCAAGTATCGAGTATCCAACGAGGTTTCGTACCTGGCCGCCAATTTCTCAACAACATAGTCGAAGCCGACACGTACAGCCGCATCTACAGCACCATGGACAACGCCATCGAGCACATGCCGTGCTTCCTCAGCATGGACATCGCCGCCGCCTTCCCAAGCTTGCTTCACGATTGGTTATGGGAAGTGAGTCGCAGATGGGGGGTTGCTGGCCGCGCCTGTCGCCTCCTCCAGTCCTTCTACGCCTCGCCCATCGCCTTCCTGGAACTGGGAGGCACACGTCGACCATTACTCATTGCAGCCAGTGGAGTTGCTCAGGGCTGCCCGCTCAGCGGCACCATCTGGGCCCTGGTGTTCGACCCCATACTATGCGGAATCCAACGCCACTTTCTTCAGATAGGCCGTGGCATGGCCAGCGCTTGTGCCGGTGGCATTGGTTGCGTCTTAGCACACTTGCGTGACATGCAAGGCATCCTACCGCATACCGAGGCGGCCCTTTCTTTCGCAGGACTGTTGCTCCAACCTCGGAAGTGCGCGCTTGTCCCAGTATGGACCAACTACTTCGAAGACGTCGACAACATCATGCGCGACACGCTCAGGGAGATCAACCCCGCATGGGCCCAGTTTCAGATCGACGGCAAAGCCAAGTACCTCGGAGCCTACATCGGTCCTTGTGCTGATGACCGTGCTCAATGGGCCACCCCAGCTGCCAAGTGGCACCACCGCGCCCAGATTTTGGGCGACGCCTCCGCGGCCATTCAATTGAACGTTTCGTTGTACAACACTTCCGCGATCACCTGCCTTACCTACGTCGGACAATTGTTTCCTGCTCCAGAGCTCGTTCTCTCCAAAGAAATTCAGGTCCTTCATGAAGTTATCAGATCTGCTCCTTCTGCGTTCACCAGGCCCGACATCCTCGGCATGACGAACTGGGCGGGCTGCGCCATCCCCACTGGTGTCGAAGTCTTGCTTGCGGCCACGCTGTGGCGCTCTGCCACTTCCACCATCAACGCCTGGCCCCAGCTTCTCGAACTTCACCATCAAGCTGCACTCGATCAGATTCCGCTTGTCCGAGTTGCCCAGGGACTTTGGACCGCGCCGTGCTGGGCCTCCGCTACTTCGATCGCTCAGCACCTGCGGGCGGCTAAGTTCGGCGACAACTACTCCACCCACAAGGGCGCCATCTTCAAGATCATCATGCGCAGCCGCCATCACGATCATCTTGCTCACCGTCAATTGCGCCAAGCTCACGAACTCGCCCGTGCTGCTGCTCTCTGCGTCATGGGCAAACTTCGCCGTGCTGATGACGACCCTCCCAAGAAATCACCACGGACCACTTACATGATTACGCTGCAGCGCTCGCTATATGAAGGCACCTTCGACGCCGCCATCGCCGCCCGCCTTCGGGCCTGGTTCCCCACCCTCCCGTCGGCGCCATCTACTGCCAGTTCCGACTCAGGACGCCTCCAACGATTTCCACCACTTCATCTACAAGTTCCCAATACTCCTGGTGATGATGACCACGACATACGTAACGCAGCCAACGAGCTCGAGACCATCGCCGAATGCCTGCAGCACTGGGCCTCGGACTGGCTCCCCTCGATGTACCTCGCTCAACCACCACGCGAAGGGGACGTCGACGATTGGCATGCATGGTGCGAAACTTTTATTCTTCGCCATCTCCGTCGTGACGGTCTACAAGTCCTATTTCGTGGCCAAACTGATGCTCAGCTTCGTCGGCGTGCCGAACGTATTTGCACGCAGGCATGGCAGTCAACTGCGGCATCAAGACTCCAGACCTCTGCTGCGTTCAATACCCCCCGCACCTCCGAACTACAGCTGAGGTTCGAACGTGCAGCTAATGAACACCACGCTCGGCGCCGCTGGATTCACGACGCCGGTTTCCAGAACACTGTCTCGGATTCCACCCCCATGATCACCGACGACCTCACCAACGAGTACGCGGACGACAATGACATGACCTCTCTCATCCAATTACCGTTCAATGTGAAGAATGCGTGGGACCGCATCCGCCCGAATATCGCCAAGCTGCCGCCATCGCGCTTTTGGCCTGTCATGAAGACGCTTTCGGGCGGGTGGGCCACTTCATACCGCATGCGCGTTCAGCCCGTCCTTCGTGGTTGTGTTCTCGGCTGCAATCCAAAGTTTCACCCCGACACTTTCAGCCACTACCTGGCCTGCAAGCGTTTGTGGCATCATGCTGCACTGCCTCGTGGACAACTTCACAAATGTGTTCTCGCCAGGCTTGGCCTGCGCGACATCAATTTCGACCCGCATGGGGCCGATGACGACCAGATCGACCACGTGCTCACCCGTCTGGCGGTGGTATACAGGTTTTACCACACGATCAAGATCGATGGCATTGTCGACAACTCGTACAGCACCCACAAGAACTACATGATGGCCTCCCGCCTCTCCCTGAGGCTCGGCCCGTGCGTGCACGGCGGTGCGCGCCCATTATAGATAGACGCGCCTCTCCCAGGGGTTCGTTCGCTCCTCCTCCTCCTCCTCCTCCTCCTCCCTGGCAGCAGAAACAACACGATGTGGCAGAGCAGAGTCTGCGGTGCGGTTGTCTTAATGCTGCCTTGCGATGGTGGTGTTGTCCATAACATGTCACTGGCAGGGTAAATCGGATGTTGAAGAGATACAGTGCCGTTTTTAATACATGCTCCGCGTGCAGACCATGTATTAAAATAGTGGGTTGACTAATATATACAAGGATGAGCTTACGCATTAGTTTATTCATACATTAATCATGTATTAAAAATCATACAGTTATACAATCATATTATTAAAACCTGCCCTGTACATGAAAAGATACATGCACGCGATGTTGACCCCTCTCGCGGTGCATCTCTCTTGTGTGTCGTGCGCGCGCGTCTTTTCATCGATGGCCATTTTGCGCTCAAGGTTGAACGCACGCGGAGGCACAGGCCGTGTTCTTCTTCTTGCCGCGTTCCTCTTTTCTTAATTGATTTGTTTGGCCCTGCCTGTTGACCACAATCGGGGTGTGATCGGTCCGCAAGGGCTGGCGGGGCCCGTCCAGCACTGTGGACAGGTTCCTGTGTTCGTCGCCACGTTCTGGTGGAGCAGCCGCCGGGGCCTCCTACGGCAACCCGTAGCCGATTGTGTCGTCATCGCCGCCGTATCTGACCTGGCCCTACGGCGTCGCGTCAGACCCAGACGAGTTCGATCCAGCCCACTGAATGGAAATTTCGCAGGCCCAGAGGTCGACACCAACACCAATATCGGCGGTGTTCCTCCACCGATCGAAGATGATCCCGATCTCGGTGATGGTGGTAATATTCTGACTCCCAAGGTGACCGAAATATGACCACCAACACCGAAATCGAGTATCATCTTCCCCCTGTGGAGGCAACTCCCTGTGTTGGTGTTGGCGCCCATTCCTGGGCCTCCAATTTGAGTGCCGAGGCACGCAGTGATCTGCACACGCGATGTGTGTGTAGCACGTCCGATCTCCAGCGGCGTGCGAAGGCACACATATCCTGCGCTCCGCGCGTCCGGGAAGAGGGCCAGCAGCAGGAGCAGTGCTCGGAGAGAAGCACCCCTTTTTTGTTTCTCACAAGGCGCGGGCCCATGCCGTATTCGGGTATGGCCAGGACCCCGGGTAAGGGGACCCGGTGAGTGGCAGGGCCCCAGAGCCTTCGCACTGGCCAGGATCACGAAACCAGGTTTGCCATAGCTGGTGTTTTTTCGGGTGAAGGCAGTTCCGGTTAGTGGAAATGGGACGGGGGGGCGCCCCCCGGTGCACATCACACTAAACCAGGTTCCACTAAACCCAGTTCTGCCAACGCCCGATGTATGTAGGGCCGGCGACTTTTGAGAACCAGGCTCCTAAGAAGCCCTCCCCCCCTCGCACTACAGCGGAAGAACAGCGGTATAGAATGAACCCTTTTGCTTCTTAGAAGGCGCGGGCCCAGGCTGTAGATATGTAGGGCCGGCGACTTTTGAGAACCAGCCTCCTTCTGTCGGGCGAAGAGAACTATGCACATGCACCGATCCTGGCAAGGCCCTCCTGGCCAAGGTAGGAGGGCGTATGCACCGGTCCTGGGCTCAGGATGGGCCTGGCCAGAATCGGTGTATGTGCATAGTTCTTTCTCCTCTATTCTAAGAATCCTTCCCGCCCTCGCACTATAGCGGGCGAAGAGCGGTCTAAACTGAACGTGTCCGTCACCCGGGGGCGCTGCCCCAGGGCGGCTGGAAAAGTGCATGCCTTGACGTGCCACCGCAAGGGCGTAAACTCTCCAGCCGCCCTGGGACAGGAGCCCTTGACAGAGAAAAAAGTTAAGTTTTTACCATTCTTCGCTCGTCTACCTCCCGCGCGTGCCGCCAGCCGTTTTTTGTTGCTCTTCGGTGTTCGACGCGTCCTGCCCTCCCCGCCTCTCTCGGTTCCCCGCGCGCCCGGCTCACAGCACTGGCCTCCGTGCCTCGGGTCCGCGCGGCGTGCCAAACGCGAGTTCGGCCGCCAGAGGTTCGCGTTTGGAGGGAGGAGGAGGAGGAGGAGGAGGAGGAGGAGGAGGAGGAGGAGGAGGAGGGAGAGGAGGAAGATGAGGAGGAGGAGGAGGAGGAGGAGGACGACGACGAGGAGGAAGAGGTCGAAGAGGAGCAGGAGGAGGAGGAGGAGGAGGACGACGACGAGGCAGAGGAGGAGGACGACGACGAGGAGGAGGAGGACGACGAGGTCGAAGTGACGGGGGAGGAGGAGTTGGGGGACGACGACAAGGACGAAGAGGGGCAAAAAGAGGAGCAGGAGTGGGAGGGATGGGGCGATGGATGGCATTCAGGAGGCCCCCCTCTCCGCGCCCTCCTTCGCCCTCCTTCTTCCCGAATTCGGTGCAGCTGAGGAGCGTTTGCGTGGCCGTCCAGTGTAGCTCGCACGTAGTAGGAGGCTCGGTTTGTAAGATGCTGTCATGTTCCACAAGCTAGGGTTCTTACTTGGCTTGACCATCTCGGGGTGAATGGCGGCTTCTGCGAGCGGTGCCGCCCGTCGCCGCCGTCGCCGTTGCCGTCGCCGCCGCTCGGGGCGAGTGGCGGTTTTTGCGGGCGGTGCCGCCCGTCGCCGCCGTCGCCGTTGCCGTCGCCGCCGCTCGGGGCGAGTGGCGGTTTTTGCGGGCGGTGCCGCCCGTCGCCGCCGTCGCCGTCGCATAGATTTTTTCCGACAAAAATTAGATTCCACCCCCCCTCCAGGATTATGGGATTACCGGCCCCCTTTTTTTTTTGCAATTTGCATACGTAGCACCCCGCAATTGCGGATAAGAGTGAGGGAGCGGGCGCGGGCGACGCGGGCGTCGAGCCGGCAGATCTCGTGGCCATCACGAACGCAAAAGAAGTTTGGAACGAATGCAAAAGAAGCCCGCCGCAGGCGCCGAACATTTTGGGTGGGTCGCGGGTGGGTCGCGGGTGGGTGGCGGTGGGTCGCGGGTGGGTGGGTCGCGTGTGTGTCGCGGGTGGGTCGCGGGGTGTGGTCGCGGGTGGGTCTCGGGGGTGGGTCGCCGGTGGGTCGCGGGGTGGGTCGCCGATGCAAAAGAAACCCGCCGCAGGCGCCGAAGTTTCGGTTTGTTCGGTGAAGTTAGTTTGGGTCGCAGGTGGGTCGGGGGCTCTCCCACTCCACTTGGGAGGAAGTCGAAAACAGCCCGCCGCAGGCGCCGAAAATTTTGATTTGTACGCTGAACGCGGTTTGGGTCGCGGGTGGGTCGCAGGTCCTCCACTTGGAACGACTTGGAACGAATGCAAAAGAAACCCGCCGCAGGCGCCGAAAATTTTGGGTGGGTCGCGGGGTGGGTCGCGGGTGGGTCGCGGGTGGGTGGCGGTGGTCGCGGGTGGGTCGCGTGTGTGTCGCGGGTGGGTCCGGCGGGGGGTGGTCGCGGGTTGGTCCTCGCGTGGGTCGCCAGGTTATCGCGGGTGGGTCCTCCAGGGGGTCTCGGGGATCGCGGGCGGTCGCGGGTGGGTCGCCGGGTGGTCGCGTGTGGGTCGCGGGTGGTCGCGGGTGGATCGCGGGTGGGGTCGCCACGGGGTCTCGGGGTGGATCGCGGGCGTGTCGCGAGGTGGGTCGCGGGTGGGTCGCGGTGGGTCGGGGTGGGTTTTGCGGGGTGGGTCGCGGGTGGGTGGCGTGGATCGCGGGTGGGTCGCGGTGTGTCGCGGGGGTGGGGGTGGGTCGCGGGTGGTCGTGGGTGGGTCGCCATGGGAATCGCGGGTTGGTCCGCTGGGGGGGTCTCGGGGGTGGATCCGCGGGCGGGTCGCGAGGTGGGTCGCGGTGGGTCGCGCGTGGGTCGCGGGTGGGTCGCGGGTGGGGTCGCGGGTGGGTCGCGGTTGGGTGGCGGTGGGTCGCGGGTGGGTCGCGGGTGTGACGCGGGTGGGTCGCGGGGTGGGTCGCGGGTGGGTCGCGGGTGGGTCGCCGGTGGGTCGCGGGTGGGTCGCCAAGGGGGTCTCGGGGTGGATCGCGGGCGGGTCGCGAGGTGGGTCGCGGGTGGGTCGTGGGTGGGTCGCGGGTGGGTTGCGGGGTGGGTCGAGGGTGAGTCGCGGGTTGGGTCGCGGGTGGGTCGCGGGTGGGTTGCGGGGTGGGTCGAGGGTGAGTCGCGGGTTGGGTCGCGGGTGGGTCGTAGGTGGGTCGCGGGGTGGGTCGCGGGGTTGGTCGCGGGGGGGTCGCGGGGGGGACGACGACAACAAACAACAAACAACAAGCAACAAACAACAAACAACAAGCAACAAACAACAAACAGCAGACAACAACAACAACAACAACAACAACAATAATAATAATAATCCGCATCGCGGAATTCCATTGCAGCCACGCGCCCAGGACAGTGAATGACCGTTCGGTTCAGCCCCCTCACTCTGATGATTCTGCCCCATCGTAGATCGTAAATATGAGTTCGTATCACCCCAGCCCAAAAGGTATCGGTCCCCCCGTCAGCTTCTGCAACACATGCTATGCGCGCGCACTCGTTTATCAAAAAACAGAAGCAGACGAACTGCGCACGCGCGCGTCGTCGCGCGCGCATGCCGGAATCCTTTCAAAACATTCGGTGTCGTGAGGATGTCAGAACCGAGTGCCCAAACAACATAAGAAACACATGGCTTCGCAACCTGGGTTTTCAAAACAAACTTCCGCGCGCGTCCGCCTTCCTGCGAATTCTTAAGGAAACCATGTGTTTCCCATTTTTTTAGAACATGCTACCAAACGGGCTTGGCGCGCGCGCGCGTGCCGAAGTCGTTTGAACGCTCTTGCGCGCGTGCCGTCGCGAGAGTCCTCTGCAAACGATGAGACGAAGTGTGCGCGTGCGCTTGTCGCCGCGCGCACATGTCGAAATCTTCATTAGTACGTATTATTATTGTTAGTGTTAAAAGTGGTGTGTTTTGTTTAAGTTTGTCTTATCTATACAACGTTTCCGTAGCGATGTCCAATCCGAGCGCCCAAAAACACATAAACACTTATGGTTTCGCAACATCACCTTTCAACAATGACGTGCTTCCGCGTCCCTGCGCATTCTTCAGAAGTCATCGTTTTTTTTTCAACATTTGCATGGAATTCTGCCAAACGGTCCTCTGGCGCCGCATGTCGACATCATTCGCACGCCCTTGCGCGCGTGCTGCGGGGGGGGGGGGGGGGGGGGGGGGGGGGGGGGGGGGGGGGGGGGGGGGGGGGGGGGGGGGGGGGTGGGGGGGGGGGGGGGGGGGGACGATCCGCCTCAAAGAATACCATGCGGGCCACTCTCGCGCGTCGGCCGCGCGCGCGTGCCGAACTCTTTCAAAAACTTTCTTCACCGACGCGAGGGCGCCGTCATCGTCGTCGGCGCGATCAGCATCGGTGCCCGCACTGGCCGCGCCTTCGTCGTCGTCGACATCGCCGCCAGCATCGCTACTATCATCATCGCGTGTACTGTCGTCGACGTTGCCATGTTGCCGCGCCCGCCCAAAGTCGCCGACTCGCAATGAAGTGCCTGCTGGGATGTGCCCAGCGGTCAGCGCCGCCGCGGCCGCGTCGGTCGCGACAAACTAGTTGGGCACTGCGCGCGCGAATGGGTTGGCACGGCCGTAGATGCACCAGCCAACGCCAGGCGCCCATCGCAATCGCCACCGCCTGGCGGGCGGGATGTTTGCATGGACATGGTGAGCCAACTCTTTCGTTAATCAATTGTCCTTTTCGAAAGAGAAATCGGTTCTACCCCCCCCCCCCCCGGACTTGATTATCCACCCAACAGAATGCCATGTGAAACGTTGGATCCCATCCCAATGTCCATCCTGTTCGCGAATTCGCATTATCCCGGCCGGCATCCACCCCCCCCTCGGCCCCCTCGCAAAAAAACTACGCGCGCGCATTCGCGTATCCAAGATCGTCAGTTTGCAAGAACCCATCACAGAAAATAAAGAGGAAGTGCACGCGCGCCCCGTCGCGCGCGCATGCCGAAATCCTTCAAAAGAACAGTCGGTTTCGGGCGGGTTTCAAAATCGACTGTCCAGGACGCACACGAATATTTAGGGTTCCGCAACGCTGAGTTTCATCGCAGGCGGGCCCGCTCCCGTGAATTCTTGAAAGACCACAGTTGTTCCAACATGTTCTAAACAAATGCCGCCAAACGGGCGTCGCGAGCGCGCGCCGAAATCGTTCGAACGCCCGCGCGCGCGCCGCCCCGAGATCCCCTTGCGCAAAATGGGACGAAGCGCGCGCGCGCGCGACGTCGCGCGCGCGTGCCGAAATCTTGCAAAACACCATAGGTTTCGGACGGGTTTCAAAATCGAGCGTCTAAAACACAAATAAATATTTAGGGCTTCGCAGCGCTGAGTTTCATCGCAGGCGCGCCCGCCCCCGTGAATCCTTGAAAGACCACAGTTGTTCCAACGTGTTCTAGACAAATGCTACCAAAAAGGCGTCGCGCGCGCATGCCGAAATCGTTCGAGCGCCCGCGCGCGCGTGCCGCCCCGAGATCCCCGTGCGCAAAAAGGCGCGAAGTGCGCGCGCGACGTCGCGCGCGCGTGCCGAATTCCTTCAACGCACCGTCGTTTCTGCAAGAGTGTTTAAGTCGAGTGTCCAAGAAGCACATGAAAAACATGGTTTCGCAACGCGGGTTGTCAAGACGAGCTTGCGCGCGCGTGCCTGCGAATTTTGAGAGAAACCATAGGTTTTCCAGCTTCTGTAGAAAGCGCGACAAAGCGAGGTCGGCGCGCGCGCGTCGAAATCGCTCGGGCGCCGTTGCGCGCGCGCCGCCGTGAGAACCCATTGCGAACAACGGGGCGACGCGCGCGCGCGTCGTCGCGCGCGCGCCGAAATCCGTTCAAACAAGCCTTCGGTTTTGCAGCGACGTCAGAACCGAGCGCCCCCCCTCTTAAAAAATGAAGGGGGGCGCGGGCGGGGCGGGGTGGTGGGGGCGGGGGGGGGGGGGGGCGACGCAAATAGATTAAAGCCAAAAAAAAGGTTTCGCAACGCCAGCTTTCAAAAAAGCGCGCCCTCGCGTCCTTGCGCATTCTTCGGGGCCATAGTTCTGTTCCGGCGCTGCCGCGGCATTCTGCCGTCGGGAGCCTCGAGACGGGGGCCAGTGCAAACGGGGGTCAGCCAGGGCGCCGGATCCTGCAGGATCCTGCGAAGGCCCCCTCTGGCTGACCCGGGTTAGGGAGCCGCTCGTGGCCGCGAGGCGGCCGCGCGCATTGGCTGACCCGGGTTTGCGAGGACCTGCGTTGCAGTTTTTTTCCTGCATTGCAGTTTTTGGTTTCCTGCTGACCCGGGTCTGGATTGACCCGGGTCAGAAGATCCCCGATGGCGGGCGGGGCTCTGACGCTGCGCGACGACATCACTCGCGCGCCGTCGCGCGCGCGCAGGGGGGGGGGGGGGCGCGACTCGAATGAGAGACTACCGCGCGGGCCACTCTCGCGCGTCATGTCGAGCTCTTTCCAAAACCTTCGTCACCGACGCGAGGGCGCAGTCATCGTCGTCGGCGCGATCGGCATCGGTTCCCGCATTGGCGGCGCCTTCGCCGTTGTCAACACCGCCGCCATCATCGCTACTATCATCGTCGCGTGTACTGTCGTCGACGTTGCCATGATGCCGCGCCCGCCCAAAGTCGCCGACTCGCAGTGTAGCGCCTGCTGGGGCGCGACCAGCGGTCAGCGCCGCCGCGGCCGCGTCGGCCGCGACAAACTAGCTGGCCGCAGCGCGCGTGAATGGGTTGGCGCGGCCGCAGAGATGCACCAGCCAACGCCAAGCATGCGTCGCAATTGACACCGCATGGGTTTTGCAAGCCAAGTTGCGGGTGGGTGGGCGGGGCGCGTGCAGGGGCGTGGGACGCGCCAACTCGCTCGTGAAAACAAGTTTTCAGTCTTGACAGAAGAATATGGTCCCCCCCCCCCCGCCCCCAGGATTTAATTCCCACCCACTGGGGCCGATGTAATCACATAGGAGTCGATGTCTATCCTGTTTGCGAACGCGCGCGATCCCAGCCGTCTGGAATCGCCGCCCCCTCGGTTCCATTGCAAATTGCAATGCGCGCGCATTCGTTTATCAAAATTCTTAAGTTTCCAAGAATCCTCGCCCGCCCCAACAAAATAACGAAGACGAAGCGCTCGCGCGCGCGTCGTCGCGCGTGCGCGCCGAAATCTTCCAGCCAATCCTTCGGCATCGGGCGGATTTCAAAACCGAGCGCCAAAAACACGAATGAAAGTTCAGGGTTTCGCAGCGCCGATTTCCATCGACAGCGTCCGCGCGCCCTTGCGCATTCTTCAGAAAACAATCGGTTTTCCAACATGTGTATATATATATATATATATATATATATATGTCGCGCGCGCGCGTCGAAATCGATCGAACGCCCGCGCGCGCGCGTGCCGTCGCGAGAACCCCTTGCAAGAATAATGACGAAGTACACGCGCGCGCGTCGTCGCGCGAGCGTGCCGAAATCCTTCAAAAACGGTCGGTTTCGAAAGGGCGCTCAAGATCGAGCGTCCAAAAAACATTCAAAATTGCATGGTTTTGTAACGCGGGCAGTTAACCAAAGCGCGCGCGCTCTTGCGAATCCTCGGGGAACCAATCAGTTGTTCAGCGTTTGCAGAACATGCTACCAAGCGGGCTTCGCGCGCTCATATCGAACTCGTTCGAACGCCCTTCCGCGCGTGCTGCGGCGGCACGATCCGTGCCGAATAAATCCATGCGAGCCACTCTCGCGCGTCTGCCGTACGCGCATGTCGAATTCCGTCCAAAACCTATTTCACCGACGCGAAGACGCCGTCATCGTCGTTGGCGTGAGTGGCATCGGTGCCGTCATCGCCACCTCGTCACCATCGCGTCTACATTGGTCGTCACTAACATCGCCACTATCGTCGCCATCGCGTCTGCAATTGTCGACGTTGCCACGATACCGCGCCCGCCCAAGCCGCCGTCTAGCAGTGAAGTGCACGCTGGGATGCGCCGAGCGGTCAGCACCACCGCGGCCTCGTGGGTCGTGCCAAACTACCTGGCCGCTGGGCGCGCGCGCATGCGCGGGCTGCCGCGGCCGCAGAGACGCACCAGCCAGCGCCGAGCACTCATCGCAATCGCCGCCGCATGAGGTTTGCAAACCAAGTTGCGGGCGAGCTGGTGAGATGTTTGCGCGAGCAGTGGAGCGCACAACTCATTGCGAACAGAAATGAATTACACCGCGTCGATTCTCCGCTCCAAAAAGATAGACTCACCCCCCCCGCCCCCGGGATGATCCACGCCTTCTTTCCGCAGTGCAATTTACATACGGCTTTGCCCCATCGCCCATCCTAAATGTGATCTCGCACCGCCCCGGCCAGGCCAGCATCGACCCCCCCCGTCACCCGGCGAAAAAAGTTTATGCGCGCGCGCCCGCTTATCAAAAAACAACACAGGGTGTCAAGACTCCGCGTCAACAACTGCGACAAATTTCGGTCGCGCGTCGTCGCGCGCACATGCCGACATCACTCAAAACTTTTCGGCGACGCATGGACGTTGCGCGCGCGATCTTGCAACCGCGGGTCTTTCGACATCTTCTTAACGCGCTACCAAACGGGCTTCGCGCGCGCACGTCGAAATCGCACGAGCGCCTTTGCGCGCGCGCCGTCGCGAGGATCCTTTTGCAAACGACGGGGCGAAGTGCGCGCGCGCGTCGTCGCGCGCGCATGCCAAAGTCTGCTGCAAATCTTCAGCGCCGCAAGGATCTCAAAACCGAAAACCATTCCCAAAAGCGTGCGCTCGCGCTCTTGCGCATTCTTCAGAAAACCATAGCGCGCCCAGCGGTCAGCGCCGCCGCGGCCGCGTCGGTCGCGACGAAATAGCTGACCGCTGCGCGCGCGCATGGGTCGGCGCGGCCGCGGAGATGCAACCGCCAACGCCGAGCATGCGTCGCAATCGCAGCCGCATGCGTTTGCAAACCTAGTTGCGGGTGGGCGGGTAGGATGTTTGCGCGAGCAGTGGATTTGACATGCCATTGCGAAGCGAATCCTCCGGTTGCACCGCGTGCATTCCCCTCTCTAAAAGAAGAATAGATTCTACCCCCCCCCCCCTCTGGGTCAACGGGCTTCCTTTTCGTATTGCAATTTACATGCGCGTCGGCCCCATCGTCCATCCTACCTGCGAATTCAAATTATCCCAGCCAAACCGGCATCGCCCCCCCCCCCCCCGCCGTCCTCTGCAAAAACATTTATGCGCGCTCTCGTCGATCAAAAGTCATAAGTTTCCAAGAACCCCTTGCAACAATAACGCAAAGATAGCGCGCGCGACCATGTCAGAATCGCACCAAACACCATGTGCTCGCAAGCACTTCAGCCCACAAGCTTGTTCATATAGAACAAAGACAAGGGTTTGCAACAAAACATTTGCAAACTTCCTGTCCGGGCGCCCATGCTAAAACCAAAAAAAAGTGGTGTTACAATGAGTTCTGCCAAATCCATCGATTTCATGTCACCGCGCGGTGCATCCGCGATACTCCCGTCATGCGCCGAGGGCGCGAATCCAGTGCACAACGATGCCGCGCGGGCCACATGCGCGCACCGCCGCGCGCGCATGCTCAGTCTGACGGATTTGTTGTATTTTCGCGCGCGCGGATTTTCATTCCAAGCTTGTCAGCAACACCGCGATCACCTGCCTCATCGGCACATGGACATCAACATCGTCAACGTGTTTGCCATCATTGGCGCCGTTATCATTCGTTCCGCCGCCCTCTTGAACATCGTTGTCGTTGGTGCCATATTCGTCATTGTCGCAGACGTTGCCGACGTCATCCTGTCATAACGCACGCCCGAGTATCGTCGACGACTTCAAGTTCAGCAGAGCATCGGCAGTGAGGATGTTATCATCGATGTTGTCATCGGTGGCGCCGCCGTCCCCCGCATCAGGAGTTTCGCCAAACAAGTTGCGGATGGGTGGATGGGATGTTTGCAAGAGCATTGGAGGTGGTCAGGCGCGGTGCAAGGTAGTCAATTGCACCACGTAGATCGCACCACATATATATATTGCACTACGTATATATTGCAATACACAGCTGACACCGCGCAGGTTGCACCGCATATCTTGCACCGCGTAGATTGCACTACGTCCGTTGCATCGTATACAATTGCACCGCGTAGGTAGCACCGCATAGACTGCAAGGACCTACTGTTCGGGATCTACGCTTCGCAAGGGGGAACATGAACATGTTCGCACCTGGCAACATGGACATCCAGAGGCAGAAGCCCACGAAACTGAACTCACCGAGCGGAATCATGAGCGAGTGGTAACTTGTTCCGATCCCGAAATTGGTCACGGGCAGGAGACCTCGCAAGTAGACCCCCCCCCCCGCCCGACATTTTGCATTGGCGCGCGCGCTTGCGCAGCCGCGCCGCGGCGACGCCGGCGTCGGCGTCGTAATCGTCGTCGTCATCGTCGCCGCAATCGTCGTCGTAATCGTTGTCGTCGTCATCTTCGTCGTCGTCGTCGTCGAGGACGACGTCATGTCGACATGTTGCCAGAAACGTCCCAGGCCCAAGGTGCCCGCACGATTTCCGAGGAGGCCTCCAAAACACCCCATCGTGGGGCCCCAAGGAAGGCCCAGGAATTCCAAAGTGGAGCGAACAGCTGGGGACACCTTGGGCCAAGGACATTCTGAGCACCCCTGTGGCATGCGGGAAGCGGGTTCTGAGGAAAACGGGTGCTGGATTTTGGGGCCTTCCTCCAGGACGAGTTGTTCATCCTGCGTCGCATTCTGATAGTTCCAGGGTTTGTGGAGGGCCCCGAAAAGCCCCCGTTTCCCTCAGGACCCGCTTCCCCCATGGCGAATCCCCTTCCCTCGTCCCCTTCCCCGCCTGGACCCAGGGCTCGAGCGACCGTGTTTTGGGGATGTCGTGGACCGTCTTCGTTTCGATTCCGTCGTACACCCAAGGACCGGACGAGGCAAATCGAAGACAAAACGAAAACGGAAAACGCTGTCTAGCTCGAGCTCTACCAGGACCCCGACAGGATGCAGCCGGCCGCCCTGCCCGCCGCCGCCCCGCGGGCGCCCCTGGGCACGGCCAGCCGCATTTTCCACGGCGCGCAGGACCTCCGCGGCACGGAAACAGCGCGCGCGCCGACGGTCAGTCAGTGTGGAAGGGGGGCAGCCCCATCCCAGACATGTTGGCTTCGTGAAGAGTTTCGGACTGGAGGTTTTTGGCCGTTTTCGGCGAGTGATTCAGGATGCGAAACTGGTCCTGGGCAAAGGGTCAGAACTTCCGGGGACCCCGTATTGAAACAATCTAGAATCAATCGGCCATGCGAAGAGGGGGTTAGGAGGAGGGGGGATGGCTTCTTAGAAGCATCCCTGCTTCTGAAAAGGCGCGGGCCTTGTGTGTAGTAGGATGTAGGGCCCCCTTGTGCGCGCCGCCAAGGGAGGCAGCCCTGACATCAATCAGTGGCGAAGCGCCCTGACTTACAAATCGGCTGATCAAGGAGTGTTATAAGAACCTTTTGTGTTTTGCACGTGAGGTTCGTAGAACGTTTCTGGTCGATACCGTCGTGTGTGAACACGTCGGCTCCGTGTTCTACTGACGCGCTCTGTGTTCGCAGCACAGATGTTTTGGGTTTAGGCGTATTTTATGGCAGGCCTAAAGCACTGCTGGGAAGGTCGATTCTTGCTCAATGACATGCTCTCGCCGAGGAAAACATACCGGCGAGCGTTGCTTGTCCGTTTTCGGCCCCTGCTCCTCCATCCTCTCTTCCCCTCCCTCCGCCCTCCACTCTTCCTCCTGCTCCCTCCTCCTCCTCGTCCGCCATGGTGCTGGGGCCTTCCCTGCCCTTCGCCTGGATGAGCTCCCAAAGTTGGAGGGAGAAGAGGAGGATGGGGGAGGAGGAGGAGGAGGATAAGGAGGACGAGGAGGAGGAGAAGAAGAAGGAAAAGGAGTTGGAGCTCCGCAGGGGCCTTCCCCCAGAAGACATCCGACGGTGCATTTGTTTCACAACGTGGCTCCCTAGAGGTCTGGACCCATGCTCTGGACCAGCTCTTCATCCTGAGTCCTTTTGTTGACGGTCCCGGGGCCTGGTGAGAGTTTCCGGAATCCGAAAATAACCGGAAATTGCCCGTCGTGATTTTTGTACGGGCCCCCTGGCCCCCCTCCCCTTCTCCTTCTCCCCGTTTCCTCCTCCTCCACCTCCTCATTCTCCTCCTTTTCCTCCTCGCTTCCTCCTCCTGCTCCTCCTCGTTTCCTCCTCATCCTCCCGATGACGGTCCAGGCATTGGGTCACTCACGCGCAGGCCTATTTGCAGATATGAACCAGTTTAATGACTCACTCGATCTCGCCGGGCTGATCGACACTGGCATCACTATGGGTTACTCCCCGACAGTGGTTGCGATGGAGATCGAAGCCTTCCGTGGGGGGCAGACATCTCCAGCAACGCGCTTGACTAGGACCTGACATGATTCTTCCTTGTTCGATCGTGGCAGTCTCGGCCGAGGGCACCCGATCTGCGCAGATGTACCTCTGCTTTTTTTCCTCAAGGCGGCGCAGGCAAAGATCGCGAAGGGTGTGTTCATGCAGGGGGCCAGCCCGCAGAGCACGTGTGGACACGAAGTGTCGGGAAGCGCTCCAAGCCGCATCCAACACGCACGACGAACGGCAATGGCATCGGCAGCGGGATCAGGGCCAAGAGTATGCTTGTCCACGGGCATGAACGGCGCTGCCTCACCACACGGTTCTTGGTATCGCTATGAGGTTGAAGCTGGTTAGCGAATGAATTCATCAATCGTTGCCACACCCGGATATACCACGGAATATGAACAGATGTGGGGGGTGATGTCGAACCAGATGCAGCAGGCCAGCACCAAGATGTGGAGTCGAACGCGTGGCCCCGTCGCAATGGCACAAGCTACGTACATTAGTCACGGCAGGATGTAAGCCAGTACGCGTTCAGCTATGGAGGGTGCCAATTGCAGTTGAACGCACTTCGGAAACGAAGGATGGCACCTCCCCTTCACAGGCCTGGACGCACTTACGCGGGAAAAACTTTGCTAATGGAGATGACGTTTGGCATGTTGCTCGAGGGCCGCGCAAGTAGACAATGCTGTGGCTACGTGTGGACAGTGGCCAAGATGCAAACATATCGCAGCAGGGTAACAATCTGAGAACGCAGTATGTACGCGACGCGGGCCCGAACAAAAAAAAAACTATTTCATCGTAAGTGGTGGAGTCCTAGGGGTGCTTGAGCAGACGAGCTCACCAGTGCGAAATACTTGGCGCCTGAGGCTCTGGCAGGGCCCGACGCGAGCCCCGCGGCGTGGCTCAGGGGCATCCCGCCCGGGGACTTCATGCACCACGTCGTCCCAAACATCGACGCTCAGGGCATGGTCGAGTTCGGCAATCTCGGGGAGGCTAGAGTCCCTGGAAGGGCTTCGCATCTGTTCGGGGATGGCTCTGTGGGTGGGCGCTGAGGGGGTCCAAAAGTTTTGGTCTGCGGGTCGAGAGCGAGCCTCTTCCGGTTAAGAGCTAGGCGGGCCGCGCAGAGCACTACTTGGGGAGACGGGGCGCGGGCGGGCGGGGCCTCGGCGGCCGGAGGGCGCGGGGTGCAGGCGGTGCTCAGGAGCTTGCACAGGAGAAGGCACGCCTAGGGGGTCCAAAACAGAGAGTAGTCGTTCGTGGCCTAGCCGTGACGACAATCATCGGTGGTGACTGGGACCGGTTCAGGGCGAACGTTCCAGGCAAGCGGCAAACGGCGCCTCGAGTTAAACGACCAGCTTGCGCCATCGCGATCGCGGAGACCAGCGGCGACATCGTGTCCGTCACGGATCATGACCCTTTCGGCGCAGGCGTAGTCCGAACGGAGGCACCGCGCCATCCACAAAGGACGCAATTTTGACGCTTGGGCGAAGATCCTGCGCGCGATCAATTCCGCCCCCCAGCGAGCGAGCAAAGTGGAGTGGACACCGTCGCATCAGGATACGGAGGGCGTCGAGTTCATCCACCCCGCGTCCGCTGCTGGGAACGGTTTCGCGCGCGCGTTTGCCGCGGCTGTTGCGGAGGCTTTGGCGGCCAGGGTCACCATTCCGCTGCCGCGCGCGGGCGGGCGAAGCGCCGTCGGCGCGCGCGTCGGGCCGCGTGCTAGACAGGCCTTGGCGGGCGCAATCGGCGCTGGCCCCGGGCGCGCCGAGCGACCGCCCACCGCCGAGACCGAGCCCAGTCAGAGGAAACATGGCCTCGGCGACGCCAGGCGCGACATGCCGAACTAAAACCGCGGCATCAAACACGGCGCGCAGGCGGCGCGCCGCCTCCGACGGCCCGGCCCAGTTCGCGGGCGCTCCCCGCGCTATCCCCGCGCCCTCGGCCCAGGAGGTCACCGCGGCCCCGGGCCTGCCGGCCTGGGACATATCCCTCTCGTTATGCTGGGCACCTCCTCATCACGATGCCAATCTTAGGGGTTCCCGCATTTTCATCGCCTTTTGGCGCGTCAATCTTGAGGATAGGGATGCGCTCGAGGCTGGCAACGGGCGGGGGGGTCGCGGGGGGCGGGGCTGGCCCGCGACGCGCGCGACCTGCAGGGGCGGGCGCAGCACGGAGCGGTTTTTTTTGCGCAGGGCGCGCGGCCCACGGCGCGAGGGGCCGCGAGAGTCGCGGGCGCGGGGGGTCTCCTCCTCCTCCTCCTCCTCCTCCTCCTCCTCCTCCTCCTCCTCCTCCTCCTCCGAGAAGGGCCGGGCGGCGCTCGACAGGGCCAGGTCGGGAGCCTTGAGACGGGGGTCAATGCAAGGGCTCCCCCGAGGGCGCGAAGTTATTCGCGCTTCGCGCTTCGCGGTCCTCGTTCCTTCTCCCCCTCCTCCTCGTCCTCCTTTTCTCCCTTTGGGGGGGCGGCGCGAGGGCGCGAAGTTATTCGCGCTTCGCGCTTCGCGCAGCGCGAAGCGCGAAGTTGGGAGCCCTAGTCAATGCAAACGGGGGTCAGCCAGGGCACCGGATCCTGCAGGATCCTGCAGAGACCCCCTCTGGCTGACCTGGGGTAGCGCGCCGCTCGTGGCCGCGAGGCGGCCGGCGCATGTTGGCCGACCCGGGTGTGCGAAAACCTGCATTGCATTTTTTTTGTCCTGCATTGCAGTTTCTGGTTTCCTGCTGACCCGGGTCTGGATCGACCCGGGTCAGAAGATCCCCGACCAGGGGCGGCATGGCAAGCCAGGCCCCCCCGACGCCGTCACCGAGGCAGCGCGAGCGGGGGACGTTGAAGGACTTCGCGATCACGAGTTGTCGCCTGACTCGCAGACGGCGACCCGCGAGCGCGGTTGCGAGGATGTCGGCGCCGGCTACGTCGCAGGCAGCAGTTTGCGGGCGCGCCTCGGAGTTTCCCTGACCACAGCAACTGCGCGAGCCAATGCATGATCGATCTTTTCTGCTGCGGTCGACCGCCGCCGATGCAAATGAGGGGCCAATGTCGCCAAACTTCCCGCTGGGGCCAGGGGCGATACCCAGCGACTGCGAGCGCCTCCTCGACGACGGCGGTCACTTCGAGGGGGGGGGAACTGCGGCCGATTCCCTCAGCCACCATGACAACGTGGAGCTGATGCTGGACCAGGGCGCCGACCTGGACTGGCCGTTGTTCGACTCCGCCAACGGCGAGGCCGACTGCGAGGCCTTTTCGCGCGGCCCTGCATCGCCCGCCGCCGCCGCCGCCGCCGCCCCCCCCCCCCGAGAAAAAAACAAAAACAACAAAAAACGCCCGAGCGGGCTCGGGCAGGCGGAGGAATGCCAGCGCGAACTGCGCGAGACAGCTTGGCCGCGCGGGATTGAAGAGGACGAAACCGCTTGTGGCCCCCATGCTGGGCAAGGGCTTCGGCGTCTGTCCCGGGGCAGGGGCCGCGGTGTCTCCTGCGCTCGAGCCTTCCTTCCGCGAGAGAAACCCGCCTGCCCCTTTCTGCACGGGCACGCGGCCCCCCTCGGCGCCGGCAGACTCCGACCGACGACGACGCCGCCGCCGCAGACGACGACGTCGACGACGGCGACGAAAACTGGCGCCAGGGGGGCTCTGCTCGCGCGGCCGCCCGGCCAACCCAGCATCCTAGAATCCTCCTCCTTCTCCTTCCTCCCCTGCCCCCTCCTCCTCGT